TAGATAGATAGATAGATATGATAGAGATAGATAGATACAGAGAAGAGGGATAGAAAGATAGATGACAGAGAGAGAGAGATGATAGCTAGATGGCTAGATAGATGATAGATATAGAGAGAGGATAGGTAGATAGACGGATAGATGGATGGACAGAAGAAGGATAGAGATGATAGCTGGAGAGAGAGAAAGATACAGTAACAGAGATGAGAAGATAGTTGATAGAGAGAAAGATACAGTAATAGAAAGAAATGATAGATGAAATAGAGGAATAGTGAGAGAGATGATCTATCTATCTATCTATCTATCTATCTATCTATCTATCTATCTATCTATCTATCTATCTATCTATCTATACAGAGAGAGAGAGAGAGAGAGAGAGAGAGATGATAGCAGTGCTGGCTGGGGAATTCTGGGAGTTGAAGTCCACCCATCTTAAAGTTGTCGAACTGCTGCCCTAAATGATTACAGAGAAACCATTTTCTGTCTCTTCCAAGTTTAACAAAAGATTTTTTTCCTATCACAAATGAAAGAGTAAAACCCCACAGGGAGGGAGGGGGGCGCGAAAGCCAGCTGACTACTTCACCTGTTGGATTTTGGATCTATAAACTCAAGGAGACTGTTGTCTCCAGATTTAAGGGGAACCACTGAGGTCATCAAAACTAGGAAGTGTCGAAGAGGAGCAAGGGCTTTGCTTAAGGGAAGTTGCAGCATTTCCCATTCCCTGAGTTGAGTGTGCTGAGAAAAACCAAACTCTTCTTTGCAAAACGAGGCCAAAAAAATAAAAATAAACCGTGGACACAGATGACCAGTTTATAATCCGAACTGGATCTAATAATCCACTCTGGGAATCCGGGCAGGGAACTGCAGCACCCAACCGATTTGGGGGATTTTTTTGGGGAATGACTTCGAGCCTGCATTGAACTCCTCCTGGCCGTTGCTCGGACAAATCTGGGGGGGTTTCTTGGGAAAGATTTTTCAGAAGTGATCTGCCATTGCCTGCTTCCTGGGGCTGAGATAGACTGGCTGGCTGGTGGGGGTGGGGGTGTTTGTCAGCTGCTTCGGGCCTATGGTAGGACTTGAACTCGTGTCCTTCTGATTTCCAGCTGGTGCTGTCATCATTACGGCATACCAAACTGTCTCTCTCTCTCTCTCTCTCTCCCTTCCCAAATTATAATAGAATAGAATTCTTTACTATGAATTCAAGCTATGGATGCAAACTCACCCAGGAGAAAAGCAACCTGGAACTAAGGAGGAATTTCTTGATAATGAGAACAATTAACCAGTGGAACTCCTTGCCACCAGAAGTTGCGGATGCTCCATCACTGGAGGTTTTTAAGTAGAGATTGGACAGCCGTTTGTCTGGAATGGTCTAAGATCTCTTGCTTGGGCCCAGGGTTGGACTAGAAGACCTCCAAAGGTCCCTTCCCGTTCTATTCTGATTGATTGAAATGATGTAGGGTCTCCTGCTTGAGCAGGGGGTTGAACTAGAAGACCTCCAAAGGTCCCATCCAGCTCTACAGCATTCCCACGCTCATGTGATCAAAATTCAGACGCTTGGCACCTGACCCGTATTTATGACGGTCCAACGGGGAAGGCAGATTCACTTAAGGACCATGTCTTGAACCTCACTACAACGAGGGCAAGAAAGCCCATCAGACCGGGGCAAATCTCACTTCTAGCCACAGTCTCACTTTGCAACCGTCATTTGGGGTGCTCCATTGCGGTCATAAACCGAGGACTATGGCCGTGGCTGTTCTCCAGCAGGGATCTGCCACTATAAAACCCCTCCACCTTCCTTCCTGCAAAGTTTCCCCCATCTGCCCTTAAAAAAACAGGGGGGGGGAGACAAAACCCACCTGCCCTTTAAAGAGGGGGGGGCTTTGCATGAGGGGAAATTTGACTGGGGGTGGTGGCAAGGCCGAAATGTCAATGACGCACAAGTGTGTTAAAAGCCACAAGCCCCAAAACCCACCCACTCACAGAGGTGTGTGTGTGGCCTACCCACACTTAGCGAAGAAAATTTTTTGTTTTTGTTTTAAATATTCCATTTTACAACAAAAACGGCTCCTCGCAGGGTTGAAGGAGGACCGAACAACCAAAAAGAAAATAGAGTTGGAAGGGACCTCAGAGGTCTTCTAGTCCAACCCCTTGCTCAGGCAGGAAGCCCTATACTGTTTGTCCAATCTTTTCTTTAAAAAAAACAACTCTCCAATGTTGGAGCATTGACAATTTCTGGTGGCCAGCTGTTCCACTGGCTCATTGTTCTCACTCTTAGACGCCCAGGTATCTGCCTTCGGTCCCATCTCTAGGATTTACTCCCCACTGCCACTCCGGGATAGGAAATGAGTCCTTGACTTACAATGGTTCATTTAGTGACCATTCAAAGTTCGAAGAAAGCAACCCGGGACCGTTTTTCGCCCTTAACGGCCGTTGCCTCCTCGCCGACGTTCCCGCCATTCCAAATTCAAAATGCCTGGCCACTGACTCACCTTTACAACGGATATAGCAGGGTCCCCCTTTGACCTCCTTCTTACAAAGCCAAGTCAAGGGGGCAAGCCAGATTCACTTAACGACGGAGAGGGGGGAAACTTAACTTAACCACTGAGGCAAGACATGGGATGATAAAACCTGAGCCACGCAAATTTGGAGGGGGTCCCTTGTGGTCGTAAGGGGGAGGAACACCCGGAGCTCGCAGGAAAAGGTTAAGCCCCCCCTCCCACCCCCCACCCCACAAAAACCGGAGCCCACGCAAACCCAAGCTTTTGTGACGCGTGGAAAATGTTCGCCTGCGACAAGTTTCCCCTCGCCTTTGAAGCGAATTCACACACGCACACACTCAAAAAAAGAAAACAACGCACCCACGGCCTCCTTTCTCCTCCTGGGGCACGCTTTTTGGACAGGCACTGGAGTTAGTTTGGGGACGGCAAGATGGAAGGCAGAGCCCCTCCCCTCCCGGCTGGGAACGATGGGAGTCAGTGTCCAAGAGACCCCAAAGGGGAACCCTATCCATATCACCTCCAAAAAGTTTCCAAAACTTTTGCTGTCGGACGATGCGACTTATGTAACCCTCTCTATAAGATAGATAGATAGATAGATGATAGATAGATAGATAGATAGATAGATAGATAGATAGATAGATAGATAGAGATAGAGATAGAGATAGAGATAGAGATAGAGATAGAGATAGAGATAGATATCCCGGGTGGAGATTCCCCGCAGGACAAGAGAAGGGTCCTGGGTGGGTGGGGAGGACAGTGGGGCGAGGAGGGCACCGAGGAAGCGGGGGGGGGGGTCGCCACTCACCTGCAGGCATAAGATCTCCAGCGCCCAGCAAGCCAGCGCTGCGTAAAGGTCTCTGCGCACCTTCATTGCGCTTGGAGAGAAAAGCGAAAGTGCGGCTACTCCGGCGCTGCAAGGTCGAGGAAAGTAAGCCGAAGAAGCGGCCTCGGATGGGAAGAGGCAGGCCGGCCGGCCGGGGAGGGCGGGCGGAGAAGGAGGGACCGAGTAATAGGAGGCACCCCACCCACCAAGAACTGAAACTCCCCCATCCGTTCAGATGCGCCTTCGAGGATGCGGGACACAGAAAGGGAGGGATTCTTGGCTCCCAGTGAAAGTTGAACAGGGAGCAAAGCCAATCTTGACACTTCAGTAGGCAGGCAGAACCAAAGGGACAAGTCCCCAGATTAGGTGGAAACCAGTCCGGGTGAAAGGGATCTCAAGAGACCTACTAGACGACCCCTTAAACCTGCGCCAGCCGTGTGGACCCCATAATCCCTTGCCAGGTCGAGTCTGTGCAATTGAAGGGAGCTAGCAGAGTGTATTTTAATATTATAAACGAATAAAAAGGATTAACTTCAAAAAGAAAAGAAAGAAAGAAAGAAAATACGATGATGATAATAAGTAATAAATAACAACAAACAACAATAGTAATAATAGTAATAGTAATAATAATAGTAATAATAATAATAATAATAATAATAATAAGAAGAAGAAGAAGAAGAAGAAGAAGAAGAAGA